TTTCTCGCTAAAATAAGCTATTGGTCGACTTTCTTGAAGCAATACTCCCCATATTCCAATGCCAGATGCATCACATTCCACTTCAAATAACTTTTCAAAGTCGGGAAGTGTAAGGACCGGGGCTTCACATAGCTTCATTTTAATGGCCTCAAAGCTTCGTTGGGCTTCAGGTGTCCATACAAACTTTTCTCCCTTCAAACAGTCCGTAAGTGGAGCAATAATAGTGCTGAAATTTTTAATGAAGCGACGATAAAAGGAAGCCAAACCGTGAAAACTTCTCACGTCATGAATGGATTGGGGAGTCGGCCAACTTTGGATTGCTTCTATCTTGCCTTCATCCACTTTAATGCCTTCACTTGAAATAACATATCCCAAGAATACAACACTTGGGCTAAAAAAATGACACTTCTTTAGATTGCCGAATAGTTGCTGTATACGCAATTCTTCAAATAGCTTTCTAAGATGCTGCAAATGTTCTTTCTCATTTCGGCTGTATACAAGAATATCATCAAAATATACGACAACAAATTTTCCAATAAACAGTTTTAGAACATGGTTCATCAGCCTCATGAACGTGCTAGGGGCATTAGATAACCCGAATGGCATGACAAGCCACTCATAGAGGCCACCCTTGGTTTTGAAGGCCGTTTTCCACTCATCACCTTCCTTCATTCGAATCTGATGATAACCACTTCGGAGATCTACCTTCGAAAAGATAGTGGCACCATGCAATTCATCAAGCATATCATCAAGCCGTGGGATGGGATAACGATATTTTACCGTGATTTTGTTGATAGCTCGGCTATCCATGCACATCCTCCACGAACCATCCTTCTTGGGCACCAGAATGGCTGGTACAGAACATGAGCTCAAGCTCTCTCGCACATAGCCTTTGGAGATCAACTCATCTACTTGTCGCTATAACTCCTTAGTCTCCGCCGGGTTGCATCTATATGCTGGTTTGTTCGGTAACGGCGCACCAAGCAATAAATCAATTTGGTGTTGAATCTTCCTCATAGGAGGTAAACCAGGTGGCATCTCATCCGGAAAGACATCAGCAAACTCTTTAAGCAATGGAATGGCCAAAGGATGAGTTGAATCTTCATAGTCTACATTCTGCTCTAGCAAAATTAGTGCATAAACTTGTTGCCTCTTCACGAATGCTTCACGAATTTCTGCTTTGCTAAAAAAATGGCCAGCTACTCCTTTCTCCTCATTTTGAGCACGTCGTCATGGCTTGGAGACAATGGGGTAAGAGTGATTCGTTTCTGCCCTAAGCAAATAGAATAAGCATTCTTGAATCCATTGTGCATCGCCTTTCGGTCATATTGCCATGGCCTCCCAAGTAACAAATGACATGCATCCATAGGAATCACGTCACACGTAACCTCATCTTGATAATGTTTTCCAATCGAAAAAGAAATTAATGCTTGTTTAGTTACCTTTACATCACTCCCCTTGTTTAGCCATTGAAGTCTATAAGGTTGAGGGTGAGACATTGTAGGCAACTTTAACTTTCCAATCATAGTGGCTGAGGCAACATTAGTGCAACTACCACTATCAACAATGACGTGGCATAGCTTCCCTTTGATGGTACATCTTGTTTGGAAGATGTTCTCTCTTTGCTCTTTCATGAGCACCATATTTGAATTCAAGGTCTTGCAGATCACAAGTAGTTCACCATCATCAGGCTGCTCCACATATTCTTCTCCTTCTTCCGAATCCCAGACCAGTTCATCCTCTTCGGCTTTAGTTTCTTCAACTTCTTTGAGAGTGATTGTGTGCCGATTGGGACACTCAGATGTAATATGCCCATATCCTTGGCATTTGAAACACCTTCTCTCCTTAATGGTCGTCATGGGCTGAGAATCAACTCTTGCCTTGTCCTTCCTCGTCGCAGAGTTCTCAGTTTGAAAAGATGAACTCCCTTTGCTGGAAGAAACTTCTTTAGTGAATGGTTTGTAGGACGGCTTCTTGGAGGTGTCATGTTGCTTCTCGACCTTGTAGGCAAGCTTGCAAACATCAGCAAAGCTCCAATATGGCTGTAAGTCCACCGAGTCAGCAATATTTTTTTTCAAACCTCCCAAATAACGAGCGATCGTTTGTTCTTGGGACTCGGAAACATCACACTTCATCATGAGTTGTTCAAATTCCCGAGTATACTCTTCAACACTCAAATCATTTTGTTTCAAAGAATGGAGCTTTAAGAACAGATCTTGCTTGTAGTTCTCAGGCAAGAAACGCTTCTTCATTTCTCTTTTCATCTTATCCCACGTACGAATCTTGCTCTTTCCTTCACGAACTCGCTGAGCTTTAAGGTTTTCCCACCATAGGCTTGCATATTTTCGCAATTTCAAGGCTGCAATTTTAACTTTGTTCTCCTCCGAATACTCTTGATAGTCAAACACTCTTTCAATCGTATGGAGCCAATCAAGGAAATCATCAGGTGAGAGTTTACCTTCGAACTCCGGTATTTCAACCTTAATATCAGAGTTTTTCTTTTGAGGACGAGCTCTAGGCCGCCTCCTCTCTTGAGTCTCGTCTTCGCTTGGCTGCTCGTGGAAAGGATTTTCCTCTTCCTCACTTGAACATGCATTGGAAGATGCTATTCTTTGATCATTCAAGAGCTGGTGCAATTGACGTCTAAGTTCCGCAATTTTCCGTTCCATTTGCAAAGAACGAGCTTGCTCAAAAGTCAATCCATGTCGAAATCCGTCGGCCATTTCTAATTATCAAAGTTTTGAGTGTTTTAGGGTAGGAAATTCGCACAAATGGAACTGTTTTCCCGCAGACGGCGCCAAATGATGAAAAACAATTTGGTTAAATTGGAGAAGGAAAGGTTTTATTGTGCGAATAAGACAGAATAGATTGGACGAGCTCACCACCAAGTTTGGATACAGGGCAAACCACCACCAAACAAGGATACAGATGCTCAGTAGGCTCACCACACTTAGAATCCACTAAGTGATACAGAAACCTCAAAATATGCAATAGAAATGCAGGAGAAAATCCTCAATTGTCATTCAAAAAGTAGTCTCCCTCCAAGTGACGCCCTAGAGGGCTTACATAAGAGTCCAACAAGCTTCTAACAACTTTATTTAATGCCTAGGAACTTTGCAAACATTAAATCTAACTTAGTAACTTGAAATCATTTAAACAAAAACAAACTAGCAGCAGCCATTTAGCATTCAATGCTCTTAACCAGATTTGCACCATTTCCCCAAATTCGCACTATTCATAGTTTGACCAGATTTCTTCATTGCTTCTTTCCAAATAGCATGACGTGTGGTGAACTAATTCCATGTAAGCATCATGATAAGTGACACACAAGGAGAAACAATAGCTGGACATGTCGGTGCAACGCACGGGCGAAATGCATCATCCTCCCTTTGCTGGAAAAGATTTGCCCTCAAATCTCCATAATCTTCATCTTCCACATAAGGAGAGAGATCTTTAACATTAAATGTTACTGAAACATTAAATTCACCTGGTAGGTCAATTTTGTAGGCGTTGTCATTGATTCTTTCCAACACCTTGAATGGTCCTTCGGCTCTTGGCATCAACTTCGACTTGCGCTTGGATGGAAATCTTTCGTTCCTCAAATGAATCCAAACCAAGTCTCCTGGCTGAAAAATAACAGCTCTCCTATTTTTATTGGCCTTCATCTGATAAATCTTATTTTTTTTCTCAATTTGAGATTTGATCTTTTCATGGAATTCCTTCATTGCCTTAGCTCGTTGATCAGCTTCGAAATGCATTAGTCATCCAACTCAGCAATTTCACAATAAAATTTAATAGAAACTAACAGAGGATAAATTTGTCACAAGTGTACCAATTTAGGGTTTTTGGTAGTCAAAAAATTAGTTTTGGATAAATTGATCATAGGTGTGCTGGTTTCAGATTTTTCGTGATGTTAACCCTAAAGATAAAGCACATATCATAAATACTGGATTACTCACTCCAATTCAATAATTTTCTGGATGCCCATAAGAAATTAGAAAACTTCCTCAATTCTCATGCAATACACGTGCAATTTTTACTCCGACAAATCTTCAATGAGATGGACAACTCCACTCCTAAACTCGCTCTTCGGCCCACCGATCCCTGCTGCGTTTCTCAGCCCCGTCCCAATCCTCTTCGGTGTCCAAGCAAGCCCATTAGTGTCCCACTTTTTATTAAAATATCGTAATATTAATTGCGATATGTGGTCATACCATAGATCTTAAAGTACGAGAAAGAGAAGTAGAGTCTCAGGAGAAACACAGAGAGGCATTCTCGTGGCTTACGAGGCCACGAGTGTCGTGATGGTCGCATGATATTGGTGATGGGCGGTGACTTTGGAACGGACCAATTATATATCTAAAGATACTTCATCTTTATTTCTTTTTTTTACGAATCTAAAATCAATGAGATAATTGTAAAAAGATAAATGTTTGGGAATGATAATAGAAATTTGTTCAAGATATTTTATCTTTATTTTCGTATTATATGGATTGAATACATATAAGCAAACGTTTGAATATGCTTTCTTTCAATCCATTTTTAAAGTTAAATTTTATAAGCAACATACATTTGAGAATGACAAATCAATAAACTAATGGTAATTGGTCGAATATGGATTATGTGGCACAATTATGCCTCGTGGCTGCCACACGACAATCACACAAGCAAATGTCACGTGGTGAGTACATGAACAAACATTCTCTCAATATATAACAAATAGAAAAGAAGAGGGCTTCCAAATAGCACAATCCATCCATCTCTCTCTCTCTCTGGGTGGTTTACAAAATTTGTTTATGAAGTAATTTGTTTCCTTCTAGCAAAAAACAAAGTAACTTTTTTACTTTAAATTTTTATAAACAAGTAAGTCATATTTAGGAACCAATAATAGCTCGACGCCCCACTTAGTAAACTGGTTTTTTCAACCAAAATCAGTAAATCAAGCATTTTCCTTAGTTAAAATATATATAGCAAACAAGAGATTTTACATGCGACATTTATCAACCCAAATGCACCCCTTATTCCAAAAGAAAAAGAAAACAAAACAAATTGCTAATATGTGTGTATACACATACCTAGATGAGGTGAATCGTTCTCGTGCTCGATAAGCCTCTCTTAAAACACGATCTTCATTATTCAAACGTGTATAATGAGTACTGGCCTCTCTCCTTCATTTGGTGTCCTCGCAATCAGTTCAATATCATTATTAGGAGAAGCTTCCCTTCTTCGGAAATGCGAGGTCGGAGCTATCGTAGATCCATTTCTCTCCAAGCATTTAAATAATCCGTGCTCTCGAAAAAAGTTATTTGCGGTTTCCGAAAACATGGACCAAAGGGAGTGATCACCGGGAGGAATCGCGGTCGAAGAAGGCCAATGAGAATAGAAGAACGAAATCACATATATCAATACGGAAGATACCGAGACGACGCCAGTGATGATGAAGAGCCCTCCAAAGCTGTACACGCTAAGGCTAAGATTGTCTGAAAAGATCGCAGCATCTTGATCTTGGCACGAGCTTTGACCACGGAAGTATTTTCCTTCGATCGCATCCATTTTCGCTTTATCTTGTGTGACATTCAAGATTGCTCTTGAAATGTAGGAGACCAAAGGTGACCCCAATGGAAAGGCCTGATGAATAATTATTTATATTAGTTCGTGGCTTTACCTAAAGAAGACCTTTCATGCATGATTGTGTTCGTACACAAACACATCAAATGTATATCATGTGTATCTAGGTGCATACACGCATGTTGTAACACATAGTACGAGCTTATAAGCATTTTCTTGCTCACATTTATGTATATATGCATGTATGTATGTATGTATGTATGTATGTATGTATGTGTGTATCTGTTCGAGCGCGCGTAAAGCAGAGGTTCAGCTCCAACTTCTCCCATGTCAATATGTGGTGTGCCTTGTCGCGCAGATCGTTTTCGGTCGTTATCCACTCTTTCAATACATTCTGACCTTCATTTTCATCTTGTGTACCAATGTAGGCATGAATATTTACTTTTATTTCAATTTTTATGATCCGTACTATATGGACGCTACATTATGTCCTCAAATATCTTATATATGTAAGAAACTGAGACCTATTATAACCATAAATAATTCAATTTTTTTAAAACGTATAATAAATATGATTTGGCAACCGTCAGACTGAAAAAAAGCTTATATTAATATGATTTATTCATGGACAGACCAAAATGAGCAATTATTTGCGGGTGGTTATCATCCATATTTTATGCATAATTATTCTTGAGATTTATTGTGAAAAATATATAGTCCAGAAAACTGATAAATGCTTACGTTAAATATAATTGGTTTGCATGCGTATTGTCATGCAAAATGCAAGTACATCAGATTTCCTGAGTTTCTCTATAAAACTCATTATTTCACTATAATATATTAGAAAAACATCACGTTGATGTTGCATTATTTCTTTAATGTCTCAAACTTCAAAAATAGTAGAGGTGCTTATTCCAAAAATCTATTACAAGAGATAAATAAAGCTGAAATTGAAGAAAGGTTATACTTACTGCTATTTATCAGTTAAGATGAATCTTTAATAGATCCATTGTTATGCAAGGCGAAGGTCTGTCAAGATTATCTATATAACACGTGACCCACCTTTAATTTGAACATTCAAGTAAATATTTAACCCTTGCTGTTGGGGAGACCTATTATGAAACATAAATAGTCCTAAAAGATATAAAAAAAAGAAGAAGCTTGTATGCTCATGCAAGTTTAAATATATCAGACCTGTGCATGCACCGGTTAGCTTACTAGTACACTTGTATGTGTGTGCACTTGCCCATGAACATGCCTCCAAGCGAGCGAGAGAGAGAGAGAGAGAGAGAGAGAGAGAGAGAGAGAGAGAGAGACTTACAAAGCCAAACCCGCCAGTTTTATAGGTTGGTCCTACGATTTTGTACTTGTTGCAGTATCTGGCAAGGAAGATTTTTATGTACGGCAATTCATCGAAGATTGCCGCGACTCCTCCATTTTCACTTCCCTTTGATAGTGCCTCATGGTATTCCTTTGGCGAACCATAAGGAATCAATCTGGACTTATCGAATTTGAGCTGTCTCACAAGAAGTCCTCTCACAAAAGATCCTTTCTGATACCCGACGTAATGGCCATTTCTTATCAAGTCTTGCACGTCCACGAACTTCGGTGTTAAACGTTGCACAGTTAAAAATGAAGCTAAACTTGCAGTATAACTCTGAGTCAGGATAAGTACCACAAATACCCATACGATAAGCACAAGCCTTGTCAAACTATTTGCAATCTTCTCTCCTACATCAATATAAATCGTAGTAAATTTGCTAAGTTAAAGCAACAAAAGCAGAGTCAATTGTGGAACCCCCTACTGTCGAGAAGACCATGAAGAAAATCATAGTAACAAACAAGGCACATTAGTTTCGAAAGGACTTACTATGAGCAAACACCAATGTGGAGAAGGAAAACCAGAATATCAAACCGATTTGTTGCCTACGACGACCCCTAAATTCTTCATTTGTATGATGTTCGAGGAGCCAAACGACGAAACCAGTAAAAATGAAGGCCAAACCAGTCGTTAGCCAGAGATTCCAACTCAATGGTCTTAAGAAGATCCACAGGTTCCTCCGCTCATCATCCTCAATGGCAACTATCATTGCTACATCAGATTCTGAATAGGGAAGTGTAAAATCGATGTAGGACGAGCGATTTGCGACGATAGTCGTGTCTCCTACAACCGCATCAAACTCCTGAATCATCATGTCCTCATTAACTTCAATGTAGATTGGTAATTTGCTTTTATCGGGATAAACATGTAAGTTGCTTCAAAATAATCAATATATAGAATTAGAACAAGTGATTGCTGAAATTTGCTTGAGAACATACACTTTCAATTTAGAAGAGAGGATTCTAAAACATATTTATTCTGAATCAGAGGGAGAAATGCACCAGAGTACCGATGTGTACCATGCACCTGAATCTACATATAGTAATGTAGTTCTTTTACCAAAAACAAGCTATTTATGGATATTATCAGGGGGTTTGTGTAGATCCCGTGGAGTCCCTTTTTCACTCTACAAGGATCAAGACCAAATGAATTTTTGTTTTCTTTTTGTCAAACAAAAATGTATTTCGAGTCTCTTAGTGAATGCTTGCAATCTCTAGTTTTATAATAAGCACCCTAAGTAGGGAAGTAGCAAACTTTTAGACACCGCTAAAAAAGGGCAACTAGTCCCAAATGGTCAAAAAATGACCTTTGAATTTGGATTATGTGGTAGAAAGCAACGTGCAACTTGAAGGACATGATCAGTTATGGATTCTTACACCCACCCTTTGTATTATATAGGAATGAAGGTGCTCTTAGCTCGACATCCTTTGTTCTTTTCCACTAGAACCCTCATTTTTTGCTTAGATTGTAGTGTAAACAGTATGTATAGCTCGAGTAGAAAGCATTGATTCATTTTTCAAGGCAAGGATCTAGGGTTAGTGCCAATTAATAAGTTGTAAACACTTACTCAAAATCTCACTTACCAGATTCCATTGTGGAAGACATAATTTTTTATGAAGAATGTATCATGGTATATCTGATCAATGCATAATATCATGAAAATGGATACAAATTTTTTACTGCTACTTAGTATCAGCAATAGGTCTAAAAAAGTATATAAAAATATCTAATTTAAATCTTTGTAGCCTGTCAAGGTAAGGAACCATGGCATATATATTTGGAATATATTCCATTTTGAGAGAGTTGAAAAAGCACAATTTCGTTGAAAAATTGTATACGTCTGTCCTTTCTCAACGCATTTCTTTAGAACATGGAGTGTGAATCAAAACATGTTTGAGTTGAAATTGAGATGTTGATACAAGTTATTCTCTTTTAAATAAGATAGATTCATATCGGAAAGAGATTGACAATAAGTTCTTTCAAAATTGATTATTTGTCCCTCTGTTAGAGGTGTTCCAGGATTGCCTGCGATCGAGTAAATAGCTCTATGAAATAATGGATCAGATCGAATTGACAAATGGTAAGATTGGTACAAGTTAGACCTTTCATCACCACTTTTGTGGAAAATTGTTAGGTATTGACATGTTAAATACATGTGACTCAATTGGTGAAACAGTATCTCTCTCCAAAAAAGTATTTTTCCTTTACCGCCGCACAAAGAAAATATTTTGTTTGTCCACAGCGTCTATCATAAGAAATCATGCATAAATACAAGCCAGGCATATCAATGACACTGTATCAATGCCTAGGCCCAAAATCGCATGAACTGGTCTGACCGTCTGAACTCTTTTTTAAGGACAAAAGATACATTGGAAATATAAAATACGAAACTATGAATAACGAACTATACATTATTTATGGCCGAAATACTTTGATAAAGTCACAAATAAATTAAAAAACTTAATTAAAATCGGAGAAATCATGCATAAATATTTTCTAGACTACTTAGTTGCTGTCCTGCTATCGGCATCACCCAACCTTTCGGTGGCTTTGATGTATCTCCTGGCCAAATAGGGGGCTTCAAATCATGGGCCAAAGCTGTATAATTTACCTTCGATGACAGGTTCAATTCAGGTGAAAGTCCTTGTGCCTTAGTCCAGTATCCAATGATTTTCTCTGTCTTTCCTACAACATTAAAGATTTCGAATGCAATGGGCTGAAGTTTGCCGTTGGGCAAGTTAAATTCTCCGCTAAGGCCTGGAAATTTGATGCTTAGAATTTTGTCAAGCAATTTCGGGCCCATCTCCGAAATCCCGATAGAAGAAAAGGCGAGATTGTTGCTGCTCGTATTCCGGTTAAAGTATCTAAACTTTGCAGGCTCCCATGCCATCTCTCCTGCTAATGCTAGTGCTGTAACGGTGTCGTATGCCCATAAGCCAAAGAGATTGAGATCAGCAATCTCTTCATGTAAATTTCTCTCGGCGTAAAGCTTCGTCCATCTCTCTTCAAAAGCTCTACGAGACTCCGATGAGGGTACATGTGGCCTTACACCTAGTACACCTTGCATTGAGTCCAAAGCCTTAGAGCTGACTGGGTCTAGAAAAGACGACAAACCATCGGTGACAAACCACACAAACTCCTCGCTCATCATCCTCGCATCACTTGCTAGAACAAAGAACCTAGACCCAATCACAGCAGTCATATGAACAAGAAACACTCTTGTCTGCTTCAGCAACAAGTTATTGAGCTCTTTTACGATGTCGATATCTGCCGGAGATGGAGGAATAACACTTCTATAAGAGATCCGAGCATCGACCTCTTGGAACGCGTCGACAAGGTATGGGACCAAGCCGTTGCCATAGTCAGTGTCTTCATAAACAAGAGTTATTTCCCTCCAACCAAAAGCTTGAACAACAGCCGCTAAAGCACCAACTTGTGAACTGTCATCATAGGCTGTCCGAACAAAATATTGGCTTTGTGTGGGAGAAAGGGATGGGCTTGTGACGGAGAAGGATATGATTGGGACTTGAGCTTTTACTCCTAAGTCGATTACAAATTTGGCTTGTGAGGACCATTGTGGGCCTAGGATTGCATGGACTTCTCCATTCTCCATCAAGTCCAAAACTGTAAAAACGATTTATTTGATTAAACAATGGATCTACCAAAAACAGTGGGATTGCATGGCTTTTACTCCTAAGTCGATTACAAATTTGGCTTGTGAGGACCATTGTGGGCCTAGGATTGCATGGACTTCTCCATTCTCCATCAAGTCCAAATCTGTAAAAACGATTTATTTGATTAAACAATGGATCTACCAAAAACAGTGGGATTGCATGGACTCTCTCTCTCTCTCTCTCTCATATCCTCCAGATCTAGAGGCTTGATGTCCATGGATATTGAGCCTCTTGGTCTCGAAGTGACGGCTCCTCCATAGCGGCAAGCATTTAAATGAGATCAAGATCTCGACAACCATGGAGGAACCCCCATGATCTTTGCCAAGAGAAGAGGGGAAAAGGTGAAGGAAAGAGAGAGAGAGAGAGAGAGAGAGAGAGAGAGAGAGAGAGAGAGAGAGAGAGATGGATAGACTCGTCAAACGAGTGGTTTGGGTTAGGTTTGGGTTAGACCCAAATTGACTCATTTAACCTGTTTTGACCAATTTTCATACAATGTAAATCTAATGACTCATACCCGACCAAATCCATACTCGACCTATATTGCTAAAACACTTCCATATTTAACCTAGTCAAGGAATACTCATATCCAAACTGAGGTGATGGTGTAGACTAAATGAGCACAAGATCTAGTGAAAGCGAAAAAGAATGAAAAGAGAGTCATAGAGCTAGGTTACATCTAATTAAGTTGTAAACCCATTTATAATCTATTTAACACCCATATTATATTTAAAATAATTTATGACCCAATTACTGAATATAACTAACACATATAATAACTTAGCCCATTATATATGAGTTAAGAAATGAGTTTATAACTCATTTTGACAAGTCAGTAGATAGAGAGAAGAGAGACAAACCTCTCTTCTAGCAACAAAGCAGCGCAAGCTTGGAATGACAATAGGTCAGACGGGCCAAGTTTTTGTAAAAATATAAGCCTGACCCTGAAGGCTTCGAGCTTGTTATCTCTAGGCTTGGATCAAACCTAAGCATTTTAGCTAGGACCGAACTTGATTGGGCTAATTCAGCATAGTCCAGATTAAGCTCGAAGTTTCACATAATTTTTCAAAGGAAAAATAACATAAATGGTTTCTCAATTTTAGTTCAATGTGCAATGTCGTCCATGAACTTTTAATTTGTTCAAATTCCTAAACTTTTATCCAATATGTAATATGGTCTATGAACTTTGGTCTAATATTCAATGCGGTCCCTAAAATTTTAGGGATTACATTGAATATTTTCCAATAGTTCAGGAACTACATTAAACAAATTAAAAGTTTAAGGACAACATTACACATTAGGCCAAAGTTCAAGGACCTAATTGCATATTAAGCCAAAGTTCAGGGACCAAATTGCACAAATTAAAAGTTGATGGACGACATTTTACATTTAGCCAAAGTTCAAGGACCAATTGTACTATTATCCCTTTTTGAAATGCATATTTTGGTAACTAATAGATGCAATTTTGACTTTCACCATTTCTTGAAAAAAATATTTTTGAAAAAATTAAGACATCTATATAAAAAAGTAAACTAAAAAGGAAAGATTTTCCCAACTGTAGCTTTGAAGAGATAGTCCAGGCGTGGTGGTGGTGCGTTGTGGTGGTGGATGAGTGAGAGGTGAGACATGAGAGCAGACAAGATGTAACATCCTGAATTTTGACCTGTTATCGGGATCAATAAAGTGTGTATTAATTCTCGTTTGATTTTAGTAAGTCTCGCCCGGACTTGATCAATCACGGGATACTAACCAAATGGGAAAGGCTAAATAGGATCAGGTACGTGGACCGAGGAACCGATCGCGATTGAGTGCCGAGTTCGAGAAACGTCGAGGGAATATTTTGGACCAATATGGGCCGATCTTAGGAAAATGACGGATTGATATAGTCAGATACGTACGATCGGATTGCGGGTGATTCCGCACGACCGAAAGTACGCCTGACTAACAAACCCCGATTTTAATCCAAACGATCGCGACCCCCGGTACTAGTGATAATTCCTCTCGTTCTCTCGAAATTCGAGAACATCATGACTCGGACAATCCTAGGTCGATACGCGTAACACCTAAACAGCCGCCCGTTAGTGAAAGGCCCTAAGACTTCGAAACGAATTATATTGATCGCAATATTGAGCCCAAACTTCGATATCAAAATTTCAAGGGTAATTACGACTATTTTGCAAGATGGACGTCATTTTATAGTGGCCACACATGTTTGGGAGTAATACGGATGAAAACGGAAATTTCGACAGAAATTGGGGAAAATTACAATTTTGCCCCTGGGGATTTCGATGTCCATTTCTGAGGCCAAGCGAGGTTATTTTTCGAGACCGACGCCATTTCTGGGTGGCCACGCATACCAGGAGTCGTTATGGACAAAAATAGGAATTTCGACAAAAATTGGAAAAATAATATTATTTTATTCTCGAAACTTTGCAGTCAGTTTTCGAGAGCTTAAAGAATGAATTTCGCAAGTCCGACGCCATATTATGTTGGCCACGCATATATGGAACACGTATGTGCAAAAATTGGAATTTCGGTTCGGGATCGGAAAATTACGAAAATGCCCCTAGGCCATTTTTGAGTAATTCCGAAAATTGGTTAATTTTTGGGATTTAACCAAGGTTGGTTAAGGCTAAACCAGGTCTGGTCAGCTTGGGTTAAGGACAAATGACCATTTTACCCCTACATTATTGGATTGGATCAAATTTGGGCCATTGGATTAGGGGCAAAAGTGTCCAATGCTATGGATTAATGACACTTGGATTCCACCCATACTTTGTTGACCTATTTGACCAGACATTTCTCTCTCTCTCTCCCATTCTGTTCTGATCTGCCGAGCCATTCTCCTCCTCCCCTTCCCAGTGAATTTCTTTTCCCGTTTCATTTACGGCGTGCACGGTTCTGTCCATTCGTGCATGTTCACGCCGGAACGCAGTACTGGCCCGGGCCGCCCCGCCGAGCCACCACCAGCCAGCTAGTTTCGCCCAAGAGCGGCCACCATCGGCCCGGTTTCGGCCTAAACGAGAAGAAAAACAGCAGCAAATCGCCTCCGTCGGTGTCGCCGCGGACCGCCGGCTTGCACCCAGAACGCCGCCGTCGATCCTTACCGCGCGTCGGTGATCGACCGCCCGTTCCCGTCGTCCCGAGTCGTTAATAGGCGAGTATAAACCCCTAAACCCCTAATTAGTTTAATTGTGCATTTTTAGGGGTTAATTAGGCCTAATTGAGGGTTAATTAGGCTTAATTGTGTGTGGGACGTTTTGTATGAGTCATTAGGACCTAATGAGATGATTTAATGGTGGATTAAGGCCTAAACAGCCCCTTGTTCTGGTACTGTTCATGGAGTACCGAAAATGTGCATATTTGTCTAAGTTTTGCACTAATTGAATTTAATGATTCAAGGCTTGGAATTAGACAATTCAAGTGTTAATTAAGCTCATTTGAGGCTTAATTATATGTATTTGGTGGTCGGATGTTTGGGGTAGGTGATTAGGCCTTAATGAGATGGTTTAAAGGTGGTTTAGTGCCTAAATGTTAATTTTTCCTGGTACTGTTCATTCAGTACCGAAAATGCCTAATTTGTGCCCAAGTTGAATATTCTAAGAATAATGGACTAATGACAAGAATTTAGGCATTTTTAGGGGATGATTAGGACGTGTATAAATCCTATCGAATGACCCCGAAGTGGTGAGAACAACTATTGAGATGGATTTGCCCAGGGCGGGCCTTTAAAGCATTGAACTACCTTGGAATGAACGCGCGAATGAATGTGGGATTCGTTGAACCAAAGTGGAAATATATTGAATGTGCCAAGGATGCATTGAATTCGTTGATTTGGTGAATGATTGTGTTCGGCATGTTGGCTTAGGTAATTGGCTTGAATTTCCGGGCATACGATTCACACATTATGCCGTTGATTGAGTGAAATTGAGTTATAATCACTTGTGACCTTCGGGTCGGGCCTACGGGTCGATTTATCAACTGTTGGCCTTCGGGTCGGGCCTACGGGTCGTTATAATCAACTGTTGGCCTTCGGGTCGGGCCTACGGGTCAATTTATCAACTGTTGGCCTTCGGGTCGGGCCTACGGGTCGTTTTATCAAATGTGGCCTTCGGGTCGGGCCTACGGGTCGTTATAATCAATTGTGGCCTTTGGGTCGGGCCTACGGGTCGATTTATCAACTGTTGGCCTTCGGGTCGGGCCTACGGGTCGATTTATCAACTGTTGGCCTTTGGGTCGGGCCTATGGGTCGTTTTATCAACTGTGGCCTTCGAGTCGGGCCTACGGGTCGTTATATCCAACTGTGGGCCTTCGGGTCGGTATAATTGCACTTGACTTATATTGATATCAAATGCCTAACCTGTAGGGCTGAGATAATGTATAAGGCGGTGAGCCGGGAATGTATTAACGTTGTTTTACTGGTTCATTGGTTGATGCGTTTTATTTATCCTTCTGGAGCTGCACATTAGCCTAGTTTAGGATTAGTGGTTTGTACTTGCTGAGATTTCTCACGGTTGTGGTAAAACCGACATTTCAGATCCCCAGCCATGAATTTTGAGGCCGAGCTCGAGACAGAGTTTAAGGCTATGACTTCCGAGGAGAAGCCGAAGCAGTCCGAGAGTTCCTCGGAGTCCTCGAGCTCCAATCTAGACTGGGAACCGTAGTTTAGGTCTCAGCCTTAGGTGTGAGGGCCGACCCCTTTTTGACTGTAGCCTCTAGTGGATAGTCCGATCCCCCTAGGCCACCGATCCTTTTTGTACTCGTAGCCCTTTTGTTGTAGCTCTGGTTTTAATGGATATTGTATATATAAGTGTTATAATGAATGTATATGTTGTTTTTAATCGTTTGAATTTTTTTGGCTTGTGCTACTCATGGTTGCTTTTAAATTGTCTGGGTGTATATATATAATATATATACGTCGTTTCCGCATGTGGCGTGTTTT